ACAGCACGTGCAGAATTGGCAGAGCATTGCTCGCATAGTCGCTGGAAAGGAAGAGGTCTTATAGATGGCCATTGCTTATTTAGGAATCTACATAATATTTTTATTTTATGGATCTACCATGATGTGAAGCCCTTGTCTATATAGAGACAAAATATAAATATTTTATGAAATAAAGTCTGCCAACAGAAAATAGGATCAAGCAGGATGCGGCTGTCTCTAAGGACATTATTTGTAGTTAATGGAAAAAAGTCTTTGGATATGTATATAGATGAAGGGATAAATCAGAATGCGGCTGCTCATCTATATAATAATACTCATATTTTATGGAATGGATCTATATTGCAAGCATTCATAGTTTATGAAATAAAGACTTCCAACATCTATAAACATAAATGGACCATCATAATATTCATATTTTAAGGAACGAAAATGACCTCTACTACATACAACCAGGTCATACCCCACCACACCCAATTGTGGATTACAGGGTATTAACAGTTCCTGAAACGGAACCCAAAACCCAACTCTCAAACCCAAAATTTGTACCACAGTCAAGGCGCACGGCTCAAATCGTGCCCCCTCCCACGCCCAGCCACAAACCCCTTCACCCCTCACTGAATCAATAATACGCCCCAGCTGCCATGTGTGTGTGTGTGTGTGTGTGTGTGTGCATGATTGAGTGCCCGTTGTTCTGGTTGTTGTTGTTGTTGTTGTCGTCTACCCCTTTTGGTTCGATTTCGGTTCAACTCATCTATCAATGTCAAATTATGAAGTGATCATATTTGGATTTATGCGGCCACGCTTTAGCGAGGGGTACGAGGCGTGGCATGGCTGGGGGAAAGGGGACTTAAAGTCAACTGTGCCACATACGATAAAAGTAAACTGAACCCACACACACTCACATACGGACACTGGGCCATTTAGCTCTTGAAGGTGCGCGACAAAAGGTCGAACAATGGGAATTCTGGAAAAAAATAGCTCTAGAGCTGGCTTTGAATGGGAATTGTTATGGAAACTTTTGCTGGGAAGTGAAGTTGTTTGGGTAAAATCAGAGAAGCGACAGATAATAGATAAGGAGGGAAATTATATTATAACAAAATAGATTATGACAGAAAAGTAGGGAAATTAGGAAATGCAATCTATGGAAGTTTGTCTTGATTGACTTACTGACTGCATGGTGGACTGACTACCTTATTGACTGACTGACTGACTAAGTGATTGACTGACTGACTAACTGAATGATTAATTGATGGACTGACTGACTGATTGATTAAATAACTGACTGCGTGATTTACTGAGTGATTGACTGGCTGACTAATTGACTGATTGACAGACTGACTGAATGACCAATTGACTTACTGACTGACTGACTGATTGATTGACTGCTGGTGTTCGGAGCTTAGCACAAGCCGTAAGACCTGAAATAAGACGGGTTCATGGAAAATTCGACCAGCAATTGGTCAGTCTGTGTGAAACCCTTCAACAGCAACGCAGTCGAATGTGCTTTGCACGTCAGACCAACAAGCGAGAGGTCGCCGGCTCAAATCTAGCAGAATGTTTTAACGACACGGATTTAAATTGTGAGGAAATCGTATTAGAAATGTTTCTAGCAAATGTTTGACATATAAATTGAAACCTAAACGATCTGGCAACGCTGTGAGCATCTAACTAGAATGAGGAACTGTGGAATTTGCACGTTTTTTGCACAGTTGATGCCCACGGTGTCGTGCCACACGATTGTTGCATGTCAAAGGGGCAAACACATAGCAAAAACAAACGCTTCGGGGATGGCCAAGGCCAAGGCAGTGGCGCAGGCTGTTGGAGGGGGGGGGGGGGCATAAAATGAAGAAAGAAAAAAAACGTAGCCCTGGCTAAGCCCATAAGCGAACGTGTTCATAATATTTACAGTTATTGATATTTGAAAAGGCGGAAAATTTATAACGAGCGACATGTGTGTGACAACATGCTGTGGGAACGAGTGCACGGGAGGGTGGAGGGGGGGGGTGTGAGGGGGTATGGCAGGGTGAGGGCCCGGGTTCGGGTGCTGAGTGTGAAGGGCAACGGCTACGGTTAGGGCTTACGGCGGAAGGGTGCAGCCCGTGCGCAATATTCAATCAAAAATCGATTACAAGGACCAAAGCGGGCATGTGGCCCGACAAACGTGTCACTGAGAGGGGGAGGGGGGGGTACTCCAGAAGGTGTGAGTCGGGGGGGGGGGGGTGTGTATTAGAGGCATGAGCAGGGCTCAGCATGCGAACCGTAGCTGCTTGCTTGTGGCAGGTTAATCTTTTCCAGTTCCAACCCCACGCCCCACCGTGCCACACTTGGGCGCCACTTGGCGGCCACATGGGCATGACAATGAATTATTTGGCCCCGTCTCGGACCTGAGCCTGGACGCGGACCCAACGTCAACGCGCACGCACTTTTCTTTTTTGCCCATTTTTGTCGCAACAATTTTAAAACCTTAATTCACATGTGTAAATTGAAAGGCAGCACCTGTGCGCTGGCAGCCGGCCAGCGGGGCAGCGGGGCAGCGGACAGCTTTTTGGGTGATAAGGGTGCAAGCTGGCGTGGCGTGGGGGATGGGTGGCGGAGCATGGGGCTAGGCTAGGCAGCAGAGCTTGAATTATGGAGCAGCCTGCGTCTGTCTATGCTTGATTTATGGCCCAAGTAGCAGCCGCCCCTCCCCCCTTGACACCCGCTGCCACCCACCTGCCGCTCACTCTCTCACACTCATGCTGTGCTGCGTCCCACGTGCCGCATAATTCTTCATATTTTCATATTTTTTTTTTGTTTTTTTTGGCTGGCTTCACAATATGCCCCAGATTTTGCTTTGTTGTTGCTGTTGTTGCTGCTGTTGTTGCTGCTGTTGTTGTTGCCCGCCTCGTGTGGCAGCTGCCGTGGATAATTTGTAATTTAACCACTTTTCAGGTTCAGTAGCCGCAGCTTCACATCCCATTGTTGTTGCTGTGCATGTTGTTCCGCTTCCGTTGGGCGTTGGGCAACTTCCGCTGCGCACCTTTTGTCTGCCAGCGAATCGTTTCACGTATATACCCTTTCGCAGCGGGGTATGCAAGGTCTTAAACAGCAGTTGTGCCGCACGTTTGCTTAGCTTTAGTTAGATCTTTCCATCGACAAAAATTGGGCGTTTCTTTGTCATATTTTATAATTAAGCTATTATTATCTTTTATTTATTTGATAAAACTGGCTATAGAAACATCTTGTTTAATTTATTTTTATGTGCGCATGTTTATAGCGGAACCAGTTCGGAACCTGCTGGAATGTGAGCCCTCGCCGCAAGCGCAATAAACATTTTAACTGGTTCGGTTCACGATTTGCTTAGTGAACTTCATGAATCCAGGCTCTCAAACGTATTTTTAAAGTTCTTGCAAATCGCATTTATTAAATCAATAATAATGAATCATTTTAAATCATGTTTGACTATTTCAATTATTATTTTTAAATTATATTTAAGGTATTGCAGCCGGTTTAAGCAAAATATGCTTCGGTTCGGACTGAGATTCGGGTGCTTTGTATTCAATCAAACCGATTTAGATTCCAGTTTATGGCAAATAAAATTTAAAATTTAAGCTTGAAATCAGCTTGAGCCCGCCAAAAAGGTTTTCTATTTTATTAAAATTTTTAAATTTAATTGTTTTATAAATTAGAACAATTAGAACGAATCAAAACAAACATATTTGACGCTAAGAAACGCAATCTCTTTGCATAATAAAAAGCACAACGATCTGTCTTATCAGGAATTCAAATTCAAGTAACATAACTTTCAGGCACATACACAATATCTTTGCTTCAGCTAGAGTATTTGCCATTCGGCTTGCTGTCAATCATAATTGAACTTTGGTCCTTCTGCTGCTTGGCGGGCTGCGCGCCAGCGCTGAGCAAATTAAATGAAATTTCTGCAGTGACATAAACTTGTTTATTTTGACAGACACACACAAACACACGCACGCACACACACACACACACACACATTTTTTTCTTTTATAAAAAAACCACTCTCAATCGTTAACCGCGATTTTTTTTGCGCTCGTTCTTAATTCGCTTAAAAAAAACATGATAAAAAAAAAGGGAAATAAAAATTGGCAAAATTTAATAAGGACAAAGCGCGCTCGACAGTGCTAAGGCAGGAGCAGCATTGAGGGGGCGTGCCGGGGAGGGGGGAGGGGAGGTGTGGCGGGATGCAAGTGCCTGGACCTGCTCCGTTGATGAGGATCAGCCAAGCGGCGTGCGGGCGAATTATGCGATTTGAGCGTGCAAATCGAATCTGGTCACATATGCGTGAAATCAGCCCCCCCCCTGACCCCTTCTCTCTCCTCTCCCCACCCACCCGTCCAACAGTTGCCGCCCAGTCACCCACTGGGGGAAAAAAAAGGACACGAACAAATTCGCGAGTTGAAAATTTTTAATTTGCAATTTTGCGATAATCAGTTTTATATTGAGTTGTTGCTGCTGCACGGGAATGTATATTGTGGTTAAGTTGGTTAGGGGCGTGGCAGGGGGAGGCTGGTTGTTGCTTGGCTGCAGAATGGGCGGGACGCATACGTTGGCAGGGTGTGGCCTGTCCTTCTTGGCTCGCATGCAAATGAGTGAAGCAATTTACCTGACGAACCCGCAATCCTGCAGCTGACAGCTGCCTCCCTGGCGAAAGAGTGAGTGGAGGGAGGGAGGGGGGGGGGGGGGGCGAATAGAATTAAATTAAGCAACGAATCGCAATGCGAAAAACAAATTCACTTAATACGATTTATTATATTGATTGCGATTCTGATTTGGCTTTGAGTTAACGCAAAGGTTGCAAAAATTCGCACGATTTCGCGTGCTGCGGGGAAGAAACTGTCTGGAAACGTAGCCGCAGTGCGTTAAATATGGTATTCGGGATATTTTAGGATATTAATTCTTTTATATATATATATATATTATAGCTTATGTATACATAATGGCTTATATTTGGTTGTGTTACACGTGTAATCGAGTCAAACCAATTTAATGTGTAAAATACATTTGCTTTATTAGAAATGAAACAGACATATAATTTTGCAGCACGCTATCCACTTTGAAGAGTTTCCTTGAACTATTTAGTCTGGCAATATACTGGTAGGAACAAACAAGAACAGGGTCTGCATAGAAAGGGTGAGGCTAACATTAATTGAATCCCATTCAACATGAACAGCGCTGCCAACTTACCTGAAGATATCTCCAGTATTTACAACTAATATAACAGATCTGTGCTTCGGCTGCTCTAGATATTCTAAGGGCCGTCTCGACTGAAGGAGAATGCATTAAGAGAGGAGGAATTTTGTAAGACTTCAGACAACTTACAAGACAAACCAAAACAAGCTAAAACCAAGCAAAGAATTTAAATCAACTTGAACTACATTTTTTTTTAGAATTTTTGTTTTGTTGATCTCTCTGCTGAGCTCCGAGTCGAACTTCCGATTTGTCGTGTGTAGTTTCTACATGAGAAACTGGATGACAGTAGTTGCCCAGACTGTGTACTTCTGATCAAGTTGGGTTTGAGCATATTTGAAGTATTTCGTCACAGTATTTTCTTTTTAAGTAGAAAACATTTGAATGTCAAACTGAAAGGGAGCATTCTTCGGGCCCATTCAGTTCCAGTCATTCCAACTCGTGCATCTCAAAGAATCCGATTGGAATATTACACAAGTGTATAAATAAGGTGAACATCCGTTTAATATGTGTAAGATAATATCTCCTGCTCAAGTTTGCTCCACAATGTACTACAAATCTCTCATATTAAGCCCAAATAGCTCTGCCTCAAGCATTCCTCAATACTCTAAAGGTCAGCCAGGTTGGCTTGGCTAGTTTTTTTATATATTTTATCAGATATATTATCTCTATATATAAAACTGTTTGTCCTTTCTGACTGACTGACGGACTGATTGGTGATCAACCTTATGTGACGAAGGTGCACGTTAAGACGGGGTTTCGCGAAATTTCACTGGCATGTGTGAAAAAATCGCGAAAGACGTTTGTATGAAACTTTTCTGTTTACCATCCGATCGGCCCGTTTCACACTTTTCGCAGAATCAAAGCTTCCTCGGTAGAAATGCGATATAAACATTTTTTTGGTGAAGTTTTAAGCTAACACATACATGTATCCATGTTTCTTTTGTATACATACATATGTATGTACATAACTACATGCATATACATATATGTAAATATATACAGTACATGAACAACAGCAGAGCCTACTTGAATTGTTGAGAATCGAGGAGTAGAGCACTTGGTAGAAATTCGTTTTATTTAAATTTGCAGCACAGCAGCAAAGAAAACAAACATACATGCATGCATACACACACACACACACAAACACACACGCACATATATAATACTTAAATGCCTTCGTAAAAAAATACTCGTAATATTTAAACATATTATATTCCTCTCGGTAGCACAATATTTATATATTTATATATATTTTCTTAATAGAAGGAAACATACTATTATATATAAATTAAAAGTAAATACAAAATTGAAATTAAAAATTTGTAAATGAACAAAAATTCAATTTGATTTTGCAGCACGAAATCGCAAGTGAATGTATTCAAGAGAATTCATGCACGGATTATATGTGCTACGGGTGGAGGGATGGGGAGGGATGGCTAGATTGTGTGATTGGGGTTGCTGACCACTTGTACTCTTGGGGCTGGGCTCATGATCCTTGTATGGTTTATTTTAAGGCGGTCGAGAGGGGAAGAGTAAGGGGGGGGGGGGGGCTGTATGCGAATGGCGCAATTTGAGGCAACAATTTGGAAAATTGAAATGAAATTTAAGCCTTGCAATTTGCACGGAAATCTCAGTGCCGCATCGACCACACGAATGGCCTTAAAAATGTCTTTAGACTTGAGGGCAAAAGCCCCAAAAGTGTTTGTGTGTGTGTGTGTGTGTGCGTGTGTGTGTGTGGTGTCGTAATAGACGATGAAAGCAAACAGCCGCAGAGTGGCTAAAGAAAAAACAAAGATGGCCAAGGGAAATGCATACGGGAGGACTATTTGAAATACCAGATTGGAGTAAATGAAAGCAGCAGCAGCAGCAGCAGCAGCAGGGGCTTGGATTGAGAGGGCGGGGTGAGGGGTTATACATATATATATATATATGTATATATTCCTTTTTGGTTTTTGGGTTCGTTTTTCGGTTTGCGCCTTTGCATCTTTTGGCGTCTTTAGTGTGGTTTTGGATTTCTTGGCTCAAAACTTGCCAGCCAGGCCAGGCTGGGCCAGGCCCAACTGGAACACTTTAGGAGATGCCAGGGTGTGTGTGTGTGTTTGTGTGTGTGTGTGTGTGTTGGTGGCCGCAAGTTGCAGTTTTGCCTTGAAGTGCTTTGTAGCTGCTTTTGGCTTTGCTATGGCTGCACATCTTACAAAATTCTTTAAGATCTTCGACTGCGGTCGCTTTGACGACAACATTTGCCAAAGGCTGGCAAAAGGGAGGGGGGGGAGAGGGGTTTTGACTGGGGTTTGGTGCGTTGACCGAACGTTGCTGGTCGCTGACCAGTCAAATGCAAATACAAGCAGCTAAATTAAATGTGCTCGACCCGCTCATGCAATATTAAAAACCTAAAAGAGACGTCCAAAGGCAAACACACAAGAGTCGTGCGGGGGGGGAGTAAGAGAAGGTTTGGGTGATTGGGAGTTGGGGTTGGGGGTTGGGGCCTGGCTTCGCTTGTCAATTAGAGTGCGCGTTTCTCGATATCATTTTGTTATTCACATCACGTGACTTGATTCAATTAACCGATGCGCTGCTGGCCACAGAGTTTACTTTAACCGCTGGCTTCTCCCTTGCCCAATGTACTTGCTTTTTCACTACCACTCGGCTTACCCTTTCACCAGTTGCTGCCATTTCCACACATGCACGGCCGCAACGCGCCTCCCCCACATGCTAAAAGGGCGTTCGAGCCACTTAAGCGCCAGCCACGGTCAGCCACGGCCAGCCTGGCCCTGGCCCTGACCCTGTTCACCTGCTCGGCCCGACTTTGTCTCCTTTCCACTGCCCCAAAATCCAAGCTGGTCAGTCGCGTGTCCACACACACACACACACACGCACACACACATGCAAGGAGAGGGCTATTCACACGCCCGCTAAAAAGGGTTATTAACTCGTCAGCTTGGCTAAATGTCAGCTCAGGTGGCCGCACGGGGGGTTTCGTTGAGTGGAATCCCTGACAAAATCGTTGCCTGATGCGTGGTCACGCACCATTATCGCCACGACTAACCCCATCGTGTCCACGGGCAGCGGGGGAGGGGGGGGGGGGGTGGGCACTGGCCACTGCACGTGTACTGCTCCCCCGGCCTCACACTTCATTTGTTAGCCCTTTGCTGGGCCGCCTATCAATGAAGTTGTTAATTTTATACTTTCAGCGACCCAGCACCCTTCCCAACCCCACCCCCCCCCCCCTCCCTCTTCCACAGCTGAACTCCCAATTGAGCCACCTCCAGGCCGTAATTTCAGTGAGCTCTGAAAGGCTTAATTATTTTTGTGATACGCCTTAATCCAATAGCGATTGCTTTAACATTCCCATTTGGCTAGCTGGGCGGCTGGAAGCGAATTTAATGGGCTTTCAAGTGAACATGGAGGACGTGAAGAATCGACGCAAGCTAGTCTATGCAGTCTGCAATTGCTCAGTCGAGCCCAAGTCGATTGAAGACTTACACTTCAAACGAGCACAAGAAAAACATGCTGCTTACGAATTGACAGTGTCCCAAGTGAACATGGAGGACATAAACATGCTGCATCTATAATAGGCATTCCATATAATTCCTATCTTTGGTAATCCATCAATAGTTTCTTTGTGTATCTGCATGCTAACTTTGCTTAAAATACGAAGACGAAGTGTTTAAAGTGAACATGGAGGACAGGTGTGTAGTATGCAATCGACTGCCATTACATGCACAATGTGAATATGCTCTGAGATGAAGATGATTTTCGGATGTTCTTTTATTTCTACTGCTAAGTGAGCATGGAGAACATGTTAGCCATATTGATCAGAATGCGAGCTATAGAGGTTCATGATCCATGCCCCACATGATTATATTTAGTACACTGCATTTAGTACATGATTTATAGGAAGTGCACTGAAATTGGCATAGAATAGAGATAGGTTTCAAAAATGCCAGAAAATGCCACTTCTTATAACCTTGTAGAGGGTATTATATTTTGTCATGCAATGTGTAACGCCCAAAAGGAGACGGCGCCGAAACCATGAAGCATATATATATATATATTATAGATCAGCATCAAAAGTAGAGTTTATATAGCCAGGCCCGTCCGTCCGTCCGGCTGTCTGCTTCTATGCGAGCTAGTTTCTCAGTTTTTAAGCCAGCGTCCCAAAACCTTGCTAAGGTTTGTCTTTCTGTTGCAGCCACTATATATATTTGACGAATCGGACCACTGTATCATTTAATGGGAACGATCGGTCGTTAAGTAGTTTGTTGTAAGGAAAACTTCTTCGTTTTTCCAGATATCTTAATCCAACTTGAGATTCGTAAGTTTCACTATGTTCCTTACATATATGCGAAACCCAATCAATATCGGAACACTATATCATATAGCTGCCATAGGAACGATCGGTCGAAAATGAACTAAGAAAGACTTTTTGTTTTACAAGAGTATTAAAACTTCGGCGTGGCGTTGTTATCCTTACTTTCTCATTCCGTTCAAAGCCAGCAACCTTTCAGGTTAGCTGCTACGAGTTTGATATCATATTTTTTCTATGGTCATTAAGCGGCGAGGGTAACAATTATGAGTCGTATAGGAAAATTACAGGTTGGCAGTTGTTTGTCTTTGGGTTTAAGTGCTCCTGCGGGAGGAGTTGGGTTTGGATTTGGGTTGAGGTTGAGGTCAAACGTTTCGTATCGTAGGTTGCCTTTAAGTGAGCGACGCGTCGAGAACTTTAACCGGGGCCAAGCGCAGGTGCGTGTGTGTTCCTCGAAAAGGGCTAGTCAGGTGGAGGTGGAGGTGGAGGTGGGCGGGTGGCTGGCTGGTTGGGTGTGTGGGTGGTTATGGGTGCTTATAATCAGAAACTATAACAACTTTGCGCATAATCACGAATCATTTGAGTGCAGCCGCACCGAAATCCCAAACCCAATCCCAAACCGAAACCGAAACCGAAACGTGAAATGCAAATTACCCCAGCAAGCATATAAAGCAAAGGCCGTAGAGCTCATCCTGCGAAGAAGAAGCAGCACACACAGGAAAGGACACTACACACAAGCACACACACATGCGGACACACACATTGGGCAGGTCGTATGGGCGCAATAATAAATTGAAGTAACAAAATCTTAACAATTACAACAGCGCTGCCAAAGACGGGACACCAAGGACCAAGGCCAGGACACACACACGCCTACATACACAGACACTCACAGACAGACAAGCACACACACATGGCTGCCCCGGATGCAAAGGCCACAGCTGAGAGCCTGCTGAGCTTAAGGGGGCGAGGGGCGGG